TCTTACAACTCATTCATGTTGCCTTCCTGGCTTCTGCTGGTACTGAATTGGCCACCTTGCTTTTAGCTGATTGACATCATTTACTATGCCCTATTGAAGAAGTTCTTTTTTTTGTTTTTTTTGTTTGTTTGTTTGTTTTTTGTTTTTTGTTTTGAGATGGAGTCTTGCTCTCTCACCCAGGCTGGAGTGCAGTGGCGCAATCTTGGCTCACTGAGAGCTCCACTGCCCGGGTTCACGCCATTCTTCTGCCTCAGTCTCCTAAGTAGCTGAGACTACAGGTGCCCACCACCACGCCCGGGTAATTTTGTTTTTGTATTTTTAGTAGAGATGGGGTTTCACCATGTTAGCCAGGATGGTCTCGATCTCCTGACCTCGTGATCCACCCAAAGAAGTCCTTAAATTGAGGTCTACAGACTCCTTGTGGGATTCAAGAATTAAGGAAAGATCCATGAACTTAAAGGAGAACAAAAGTTACATCTTTTTTTTTTTTTTTTACTGATCTCTAACTTAAATTTAGATTGTTCTTCATTCTTCAGTGTAGGCAACAAACCATGGTAGTATTAGCAATGCTTCTACCTGTGGGTTCATTACCAGTAGGAATAACTACTGTTTCCATTTTTTTACAAGGGTTGTTGCAGAATCTCAAAATAGTGTTTGCATCCATTGCTACTTTGAAACTGCAATACATATTTGACCTGCCATTGGATCTTATTATTTAACACCTCAACAAAGCACGTATATTTCTATATCATAAGATGCAAATTTTTTTTTACATTTTGATAATCATTTCTCAATAGAATTGGTTTCCTCTGTAATGCTATATATTTCATTTTAAGCATTTAATCCATTACTCTGAGAAGGGGTCTATGGCACAAAAAAAAAAAAAATCTTAATAATCCCCACTTAGATGCTTCTATGTGCTTTAAACACAAATGAATACATTTAATTATTGCTGACATAATTAATTCTAATTATTGCTGCTGACTTTTACAGATGGAAAAAAACTGAGTCACAGAAAGATTAAGTGAACTACAAAGTGCCACATAATCCGGAAGTGGCAGGGCAGGGAAGGGATCTCAACAGCCTGGTTCCTGAGGCCATGCCCTCAACCACTGGGCTGTCCTGCCTTCTAGAAGAACCTGGACAGGGCACAGGCCCAGAGCCCCAAGGGCCTCAATTTCATCCTAGAGGTAAGGGAAAGAGCAGGAGGAGAGACAATTGCATCTGTGCTGGGGAAAGATAAGAGAATGAAGTAGAGGAGCCTGGAGTGAGATGTGGTTAGAAACCCAAAAGGCAGGAAATGGCCCAAACCAGAGCAGTAGCTGTGTGCAGAAGAGTGGTAATCAATTTTGCCAATCTTTAGGCTATGGAATAGAGAATAAAGTGCTCCCAATCAGATAGCCAGGTAACTGAATAAGGTTCTTTTCTCATCAACTCTGCTATCCTAAATCAAGAAAGCAAAACAATGATTCTGAGGCCAAATATAACCCATGGAGTAGGGGCTAAAAGCTAATTATTTAGAACATTTGAGTTGATTTGGATGGTCAGGGGTGAGCCATTGGATGCCCAACAATTTCCAATCCAGTTCCACACCCTTTGGTTGACCCAGTAAGCACCAGATATAGTCAGAGGTCAAAGGAGAGACAAGGACTACACAATGTGGCCTAAAGGAGGTGCCCTGGGATTCTGTGAAGCCAATTCTTCATTGAGTGGGACTACTCTGAGCATTGCAGGGCACTTAACAACCCTAAGCCCTGGATGTGAAATGCCTTTAGCACTGCACCTCATCACTGTGATAGCCAAAAACTACTCTCCCACATTTTCAAATGCCCCCCACTCCCTAGGAAGCACTCCCACACTGCTTGACAGCCTCTAGGCTACAGACAAAAGCAAGAATCAGAGGTGCCGCTGGATCACTTAAGAGTGATTCCTGCAATCCTGCAGCAAAGTTCTGTTATTAATAATTCAGTCCTAACCACAGAGTCTTCCCTGGATGTGCTCTCTGTAAATCCGCTGTGCCTTTATCCATGCTGTTTCCACCTCTGACCACACCATTCTCCCGTGCTTATCAGCCGGGCAGACTCAGCATTTGGCACGTGGTCAGAACTCAATATCCATTAGCCATTATGCACACCTGCTCTGTGAAGCCAGTTCCACTTCTCTGGGGAAATAAGGCACACTTTCCATAACCACCATGCTTTACTTACCTCCATTAAAACAGTGACCAAACGGCATTGTGATCATTTATTTCCAAATAGAATGCACATTTTCTAATAGACACTTGGGAAGGTGTGTTGAATGAATGAATAAATAATATCTTAATTTGCCCAGCAATCTGTACTGTCAACAACTCAAGCAGATCAGGTCATATTTTAATTTTGCTGAGAAGAAAACTGTAAGTCTCCCTCTTCCCCAAAAAAACTACCATTTATTGCCTGTTTAATAAATGTTATTTATTAAATAACGTATAATAATGTCATTAAATGTACTGCCCTGACAATTCCTGATTGTATGGCATTGTGTGTTTGCAGTGTACTATCACTTTAAATGCATTGTACCAGTTAATAGGAAGTCTAAGAGCTTAGGTGGCTCTCCCAAGGTCAAGGCCACATAGCCAGTAAGGGAAGGGCTGATCTGCACACAGAGGTCCTGTGCCTTGCGATCTGTGGAGTTTATCTGGACACAGCAACTAAATGGGGCACAAAGCAAATCTGTACATATTAGGATTTATAAAGAGGGGAATATTAGGGTGGGAACTCTTTAAAAAAGGATTTCAGGATGATACCTTTAAAAGCATAAACTCCCTTGTAAGTTAAAAATCTTCCCGATTTACAATCACCAATTTTCTCACCCAGCTCTGCAGGAAGTGCAGGAAGTGCAGGAAGTGGGGCCACCTGCACCAGTTGCAGGAAGTGGGGCCACCTGCATTTCCAGGAACACAGACATCCCAGTCAGTGCCAGGAAGGTGGTGAATGTCCCCAGCCTGTACGGGTTGCCATCAGGTCCCTGCTGGCCCCTGCAATTCCTCCTCTGGTGTGAGTGACTGTGTTCTTGGTTCTGCTTGCTAAGAGCTTACCTAGGAGAGAACCCAGCACTCAAAGAGACCACAGGGTGTGCTTGGCTCCAAAAGACACCCGCTTTGGGCTGAGGTTGGGGGCTGCATTTTGCATTTGCCTCAATGCCTGGGTGGTCTCCAGGGCTGGTGCCAAAGAGCACACATTGCAGCAATTTAGCAGAGACCACAGAAGTGGGTGAGAGCGGCGGAGGTTGAAGTGGGTTTGGAGACAGGTTCCACAATCCCACCCTGCCGACTCCCTCTTGCCACCCACAGAATAAAAAGGTGCTTCTGGTCCATGCACAGTGTATTGCAAAGGCTGTTTTCCATGCTGGGCAATCAATTGCCAGGTACTACCCTCCCTGAGCCTCTGTTTACTCACATATGAAAATAAGGGTGAGAATGTTCACCATTTAGGCTTAACATGAGGACAAGATGGTGCCTTGTTTAGGTGCTTATAATGAATTCAGTGGTAGAGAGAGGAAACTTTTGTTATCCACAAGGCTGAGAGGGTGCACAAATCAGTTCAACAACTATTTATGTTAATAGCTGCACCATTCCAGTCCCTTCTCCAGAAGAATACAGAGATGGAAAAGATACAGCCCCAGCTGTCATATCTCTGATATGAGGCCTGGTTTTCATTTTCTTTCAACATGGCATGACAGAGAAGGCAATCAGGATGTAAAAGGAGGCGAGTGCCCTGGTGGGAGGGATGGAGGTTAAAGGGCTGACCCCCAAGAGGCCTCCACTCTAGAGGCCTGAGGCCTGGGTCGGATTAAACTTGACACCACCTTTTAGTAAGAGTACCATGTAATGAGGGCCTGCCATGTGCCAGCCCCATGCTAAGCACATCAAATACATCATCGGATTATCTTCAAAGTGATCTTTGAATGAATGATGATCTCCAACTCTGCAAAAGAAGCATCACTAACCCTCTTTTAGAGGCAGGGAGGCAGCATGTGTACTGGTTAAGGATGTGAGCTTCAGAATTGAGCAGCTGTGTGACTCCTGCAAGTGGTTAAACCTAAGCCTCAGTTTTTTCACCTGTAAAATGAAAACCATGCATAGCTCCCTCCTGGGTTTATTTAGGAAAGTTAAAAGCAATATACATTTAACTGCTTAGCACAGTATCTGGAAAATCCATTGTGGTTACTATGAAATGGTAGCCTCAAGATAATGTATACTGTGTTCAAAATACTGTGGGTGCTTAACAAATATTAGCTTTCTGACTACATTTACCTTGCTACCCCTCCTGCCCACCAGCCCCACCTGAACTCTGCATTCCTAGTGCTTAGCACAGAGTTGCACTCCACTGCACCGACTGGAGACATGAAATGGTATTATAGAGTGAGGATGTCAGGCCACAGCATTCCCTCTAGATCTGTGATCCTACTGTTTTATGCTATAACATCTTTTGAGAATATAAGCATGCCCCTCCCCCTAACTCTCTCTCTCTCATGCACAAACATACGCACACACACATCATTCACATTTAACATCTCAACAATCTGCGAGTTCCAGGAGACAGGAGACCCATTTTAAGATGTACTCGAGTCCAGTACCCCTTGGCTACAGTGCAATTACTTGCCAATACAGTCCTTAAAAGAGAGCCGGGCCCTGACAGCTACAGTTGATGCTCTCCAGGCCACCCCAGTGGGCCCCACAGCTCTGGCTCCTTCACCTGATGGTGACCCAGTGATCCGGCCCTGCCACCTCTGGCCGGGTTTTGCTGTTTTCCCAGCCAGAGCAGCAACACTCCAGGAATCAAAATGAAAACAGGAAGAACTCTAACCTGAGCAAGAGGTTTTTTTTTAATGGACCTGTGCTTTCATATGGCAGCCACACAAAGGCACAGACGGAAATAGTTACTGCAAACTGTTTCCCTTCGAAGCTTCTCTTTCCAAGGAGATGCTTGTCATCATTGAGACTGCTTGTTTGGGAAGAGCTGACTGTCAGTGCATGGTCGGTTCAGACAGGGAAGCGGATTCCAGGGGACCAGGGCTGTAGCTATTACCAACAGCTGTCAGAGCTGGAAATGTGGAACCATCTCTGAGCCAACCTCCATCCACTCATACATGAAATCCGAAGGGGAGAGAACATTCCCTCTCTGGAAAGAGGTAAGTGTTCATTTTTCTTCTTTTGCCTCTATTTATTTCCCCCTTTCAGAGATAAATTTGCTATCCTGCAGGTCTGGAACTAAGAGATGAATGCTGCTCCCAGACAATGGGATTATTTTCTCTCACAGATTGAAATAGGACCTTGTCTCAATACAGCACACTGAGTTTTGTTTTGTTTTGTTTTGTTTTGAGGGGACAGGGGTCACTGTGTTGCCCAGGCTGGAGTGCAGTGGCTATTCACAGGTGCGACCATAATGCACTAGCAGCCTTGAACCCTAGACTCAAGCAATCCTCATGCCTCAGACTCCTCGAGTTTAGTTGGGACTATAAGTATGGGCCACCATGCCAGGCCTACCTTGAGTATAATTCAATTAAATTCAACAAGCATGTGCTGAAGGCCAACAACAGGACAGGCACCTTTGCTAGAGGTTTGGGAAGCAGAGATGTATCGTCATCCTCCCTTAGCCTGAGTTCTTTCTAAGTATCCTTACTAGAATACCTTACACAGGGTCCTGCCCTGTAGAAGGGCCCACTCACTCACTCGTAATCTTCCCACACTCCTTCTCCAGTAATTTGGGTTTTCCTAAAGATTTCATTTACCTAGTTATCTTCTCTTGGGTTCAGACAACCATCTTCAACCCTTCACTTTCCTTTAGCAACAGGTTCAGACAATTCTAACTGCTAAGTGACCCAAAATTCCATCCCTCTCCATTGGGTCCTTATTGCTAACTGCTATGGACTATTCAACTTTTTTGGTTTCTGCCAAGACTCATGCTAGACCTTCCTTATTGGACTCCTTTACCTTCAGTTTCTCTATTTACAAATTCTCTTCACACTGTATCCAGAACCATCTATCTCTAACATAGTCTGACTATGTCTCAACCCAGGCTTCACACATTTGACTGGTACCCATTTTCTCTAACATGAAATTTTCATTCTAATTCACAGAGTGCACAAAGCCTATCTTCGCTCAGGCTGCTATTGCAAAATACTGTAGACTAAGTGGCTTAAGCAAGAGAAATGTATTTCCCACAGTTCTGGAGGCAGGGAAGTCCAAGATCAAGATTTTGGCCAACTTGGTTTCTGGAGAGGGCACCCTTCCTGGCTTGCAGAAGGCTACCTTCTTGCTGTGACTGCACATGACCTGTCCTCAGTGGTTGTGCATGGGGAGTTACAGTAAGCTCTCTCTCCCCCTTCTTTACATGGCCCTGAAGCTATGGGATTACTATCCCACCCTCATGACCTCATTTATCCTTAATTACCTTCTAAAAGCCCTGTCTCCAAACACAACCACACTGGGGATTGGGGCTTCAACGTATCAATTTGGTGGTGGGGACACAACCCAGTCCATAGCAAGGTCCTTCTCAAACTGAGTTCAATTTCTCTCTACTGTTGTCTCCAATTACTCCTCCATCCCACACTCCTGCTGGGCCTTACCACAAGGAACCACTTGAAGGTGTCCCAATACTGTAGCTGACTCATGTCTCTGGCATCTGTTGTTCAATAACCAGAGTAAGGTGGGCACCACTGTCCTGCCACAACGCCATTTTAAAGTGAATGCCTGGTTACACCTTGATCATATTACCCTAATGTCAGGATCTCTGCTCAAAGTGGCCATGTACTCCCTGCTAAGATGGGAAGTGAAGGCTTATCTATGTCCAGGGATGTTAGAAGGAGGTGCCATGGGAAATCTTGGATTAAGGGCTGAGCTTGTAGAAGAGGGCTGAGCAGAGAGGGCACAGAGGAACATTACTGCACACTGGCAATGGGATGGTGATTATCTATTGGGAGTCCCCACAGGACATAAAGGTGAGGAGCAACTCCACAATTCCCAACCTCCAACACATACCAACTCTGGGCAAGATACGGTTTGGCTGTTTCCCCACTCAAATCTCATCTTGAATTGCAGTTCTCGTATTTCCCATGTGTCGTGGGAGGAACCCGCTGGGAGATAATTTAATCATGGGGCGGTTACTTTCATGCTCTTCTTGTGATAGTCAGTGAGTTCTCACAAGAGCTGATAGTTTTATAAGTTTTTCCCCTTTTGCTGGGCACTTATTGCTGCCGCCTTGTGAAGAAAGATGCATTTGCTTCCCCTTCTGCCATGATTGTAAGTTTCCTGAGGCCTCCCCAGCCATGCAAAACTGTGAGTCAATTAAACATCTTTCCTTCATAAATTACCCAGTCTTGGGTATGTCTTTATTAGTAGGGTGAAAATTGATTAATACAGGACATCGATGCTGCTTGCTCAGGTGGAGACCTGTGGTTTCTCAATCTTGCATCCTCTGATTCTGCCCTTGTCCTTTTTGTGTGGCAGACTACAGAATGCCCTCAGAAATCTCTTCTCCCACAGTGGCAGTGTTCTAGCTGGGCACATGACTGCCCAAATAAGTCATCATTTCCTAGCCTCCCTTGCAGCTCATTGAAGCCATGTGTTTCGTTCCTGGCCCATGATATGTGGCCAGAAGTAATGTGCTCTTAAAAAGAATGCATGTGGATTCTACTGGTCCTTTTCTCCTCTCCTTCTGGCTGGAGATGGTGACAGCTAGAGGGATCACCTTGGACCTGGAGGGAGAAGTTACACTTGAGGATGTAAAGCTGCCCTGCCCTCAGGGCCTCCCACCTCTGCAGTGTTATATGGGAGAGAAAGAAGCATGTCCCCGTCTAACTCACTGTATTTGGTAGCCTCTGTTAGATCAGCATAGCCCATATCCTTACTAACAAACCTCACCCCATAGTGTCTTTGTATCTAAGCCCTTGCAACACAAAAATTGCTTCATTTTCTCCTCTCCCCCACCACCCACCAAGTACATTCCCCAGAAATGGCATCTATTATTTTTAAATTGATATCCTTATATGATTGGGATGTTCACAAATGTTCTGGCATGTCTCTCTTGGGACCATATTAAAACTTATGTGTTTCCTCCATCTTTAACTCAGGCAGAGACACATGACTTGCTTTGGCCAATGGAACATGAACAGAAGTGGCATGTGTTCATTCTGCGGTGATGCCATCATGGCCAGTCCAAGTACTATAGTCTCCCTTCCCTACTGTGGTGATCATGCAGCTCACATTTGAGGTGGAACCTCCACCCACCCGAATCCCAAATAAAAAGACGTGAAGCAGTACCCCTAGCCAAGGAGCCAAGGACATGTAGCACAGGCAAGAAATAATTATTTGTTATTAGAAGCCACAAATATATGGAGGTTGTTTGTTTCTGCAGCATAACTTAACCTAGTCCTGACTGATACTGAGGTCAACCAGACTTGATGGAAACAAAGCTTTAGAGGAAGCATTGTGAAATACACAAGTGAGACACGCATGATGACAATGTAAGACACTGAGAGGTCATTCCAGGGTAATGCCTGTTTTAAGTATTTTCTTCCCCACCGCTGGACCCAAGCTTCCCCCTTTGGCTCTGCCTCCACATGAAAGAACCTGGTTCCATGGCATTTCAAGGTAGAAGAGGAGGAGTTGTGTGGCCCTGCCGGGGGTGGGGAAACAAAAATGAGGGGAAATGTTTACCACTGACATTGTTTAGAATTGCTCACACATGATAAGAAAAAACAGAGCAACCTTTAATCAATTTAATTTTCTGAAATTGTCTACAGACAACACACTCATTAGGTGCACTGGTCAGTCACCGTTCATTACCTCACATAAGCACATCACTGGCTTGGCTTTATCTCTGGGTACCCAGGGATGAATTCAGGGATTGCTGGAGAGCTAGAGTCTGGGATGGAGAACAACACACCACTTAATCCTGAAATATTACCTACTACATGGATGCTGTTTCTTCTACCACTATGGTTTCTATCACTTTCTTTGACTGGTGAAGTCCTTCATGGTTCAAGACCAAGTTCATGTTATCTCCTGTGTAAATCTTTTCACGATACCCCCAGGCAGATTGAGTTGTTACCACTGCTGTGATTCCAGGACATCCTATGCACACCACTGTTATAAAGCAGCAGTTGTTCATTCACATGCCTTTCTCTTCTACCATGTAATGAGTTCCTCAAGGGTGAGGTGTGTGTCTGCTTTCTTTTTTTGTCCCTACAGTAAGCACGACGCCTGTTATAAAGTTGGTGTTCCGTGCATATTCGTGTTGACTTTGCAAGTATTTCTCTATTTCCTACCATGTGTCAGCCTCTGGACAAGGCCCTGTGGATACAAAGACACATAGTCCACTGGGTGTGAAAGGCATATTGTGACCCATCTCTGTCCCTCATTCAGAAACATTACTCTCTTTCTTTCCTGCCTGGAAAGATGAAAGTCATCCTTCCACTTGTAAACTATATCATGCATTAGAATGCAATCTGCTTCATGGCCTAAATTATGTATTTTCCTCCAGGTTGTTAAGGCATCACAGAAGAATGTCTACTAGCCAAAAATCTATTTTGAATGTAGAGGAGGTCATTCCATCTTTGCAATAATTGTTACTTTCCAGCCACTGGGTTCCCTCAAGGCTGAACCCCACCACTGCCCCCCTCCCCCATGCTTCATCAGCATCTGCTTTTGTTTCCAACTTGTGGCTGTCACAAGAAATGACCCAGACATCTCAGAGGGCTGATGAGTTTTTATTTTTACTACCAGTCTGTTGCAACATTTGGCAAACAGGGGGAGGAGTTATTATATTATGTGATTTTAATATGATAATAACTATACTTTGTATCTTGCACAGAATGCTTAGATGTATCAGACAAGCCTTTTGCATACATTTGCCCAACTACTTTTCACAACAACTCCATGATATGATTACTATTATTATCCCCATTTTACAGAGAAGTAAACTCTGACACATGAAGATAAAGCCATTTGCCCAGATAGTAAATGCTAGATTCAGAACCTGTATCAGATTTGTGTACCTTCAAAGCCAGATAACTGGCATGAGCCAGCTCATACTGGCTTGAGAGAGCTGATTGTACACATCTGTTTCCAGCTCCACATCCATTGACATCATTCTGGTTACTTGAAATTGACCATGGCAGGAATATTTACA